AGATGACTTTCTGAAAGCTTTTGCAAATTATCTGTGACAGAAAATTATTAGAAATTCGTGGAAAAGAGTTGCAACAGGCACAGGTTTCTGCTAACTGAGGCGAGGTTTTCCCTGGCCACGCCCTGCCAGCAACACCAGGCGACTTGGCGTCCCCTTCAAAGAAAGCATACCACCCCTTCTGGTCCAGCCACCTTGTGGGGGGAACAGTGCTGCAAGTCGGGAGACACAGAGACATCTGGGAGGCATTCAGGCTGCAAGACAAGAAAAGCCACCGGGGGACACAGCGCTATAGAAAAGGAATGCTATTTATTTCTACATCAATAAGGGAGGAGTCTGCGTCCTTGGTTTACTTTTTACTTTTTTAAAACATGTATTTATTTATTTGATACAAGATCTCACTATGCAGTTCAGACTTGTAGTGATCCTCCCGTCTCACCCTTCCCAGCCCTGAGATGACAGGCGTGTGTCATCATGTCTCAGTTCCCAGCTGGTAGGGCACTCCTGGGGTTCCTGGGCCTGGCATAGCATGTGGTACCAGATATTGAACCCAGGGCCTTGTGCTTGCCAGGCAGGAACTTAGACACTGAGCTATCTCCCCAGCCCACAGTTTACTTCTTAAGCTTCACTCTTGGGCTGCTGAGGTAGCTCAGTGGTCTAAAGCACCTCCTTAGGCAAGCACCCAGGGACCGTGGTTCCATCCCCAGTACCACATGCCACACCAGCCCTGCTCCCAGGGTTTTCTGAGCTGCCTCCCCCCCAAAAAATATCTAATTCTTAACTTCCCTCCTGTAACTTTAATTTAATATAATGTAATTAAATTCATGCAAATTAATCAAAATTAGGAAAAAGTGTGCATGCAAATCATGATCATTTCCCAGCATCTTCAAGTGTATCACTGATCACCCAAAGTGCAGTTGCGATGCTTGGGGCTCTAGTGCTAGAGACCTAAGAGATCGGGTCCTGGTCTTGCTGTGGCTCAGGAGGTGTCGTCAGAGACTGGCGTGGTTGGTGAGTCTCAGCGCCAGGGGCCGGTGGCTTGGGGGCGTGCTGCACGCTCTTGGTACTGCCCTCCTGGAAGGTCTACTGACAAGAACCCTCCTGACTGGGTTTCTCAAGGCCTTAGATGCTTGTCAGCAGCCGTTCGCTCAGCACGCGACTCCATGAGAACTGAACACCAAACACCACAAGAACATAGCGGGGCATGGAGGCAGGCACCTGCCCCCCAGAACTTGGGAGGCTGAGGCAGAAGATTGCAATGAATTCAACACCAACCTGGGCTACCCATGAGCTCAAGACCAGGCTGAGCTACCAAGAGAGACCCTGTCTCAAAAAAAGCAATACAAACAAAGACCACAAGAGTGGGAATGAGCAGGAGACTCAGCGTCCGGTTTGTGGCCTATGGAGGACTGTAGCCAGAGAAAGTGACCAGCGGCCCTGTCGTTCACAGCTGCAGTGAGACAGTCCCAGGAGGGAGCGCTGCTACACCAAGGTAGAAACGGGGACTACTCGGCACGCCCCCAGCCTGCCGGCCGGCCGGAGCTGCACTCTCAAAGCTGAAGTCCCTGTGATCTCCCCAGGTGACAGCTCTAGACAGGAGGGAGACACAGAAAGCATGGCCTATGGCCCTTTCCGCATGTTCAGCGACAACCAAGCAGTGGACCCAGTCGTGGGGACAGCTCTCCCGATGTCAGTGCATGAGGACACTTCAGCCAGTCAGGAAGCAGCCACAGCACTCCCTTCTTTGCTTTTCTTTTTGTTTAATTTTTTTTGTTTAATTTTTTCAAAGTTTTATTGATAAATAGCAATGAGACAGTTTCAAATCAAATCAGA